AAACTGAATTTTTGACAGCATTTTGAATTTTGCTCTAATGTGAACAATTGGAGTCAATGTAAAAATGGCAATTTTAAACATCAGTTTTTCACTTATGGAGCAAATCAATCATTGTTACAAACAAATTACCAACATCTCCATGCTGTCTAGATGCAATATGTGTATTTTCAGATTTTTGTCTTAATAACTGAATTTTTTACAGTGGTTTCAAATCTGCCTTTCCATGCACGGATGCTTTCCTACACAACAGTGAATGGCTTACTCAGTTTGTGAAGCCACTGTTGAGTTGCTACTTGCCAATTAGCTCAGAGCAGTAGATGATCGTCTTAGGTTCCAGAGGTTGCTCAGAATTGCCTAAAAATGCCCGGACCCAACCCATCGCTGCACAGCAGCTATAATTAATAAAAGTTTTCTAGAAGTGTTTTTATGAACAGTCTGTCTGTGTTGATTAGTTTTTCACTTATATTCACACATTTAGTTCATTGTTTTACCCTCTTTTCTTTGAAAAGCACCTGAATAACACCGAAGACAAACATGTAAAATCTACTTTAAACTTGGACGGTGTGAGGCTTCATGCTATGGTCCCATTGTGTTTTCCGGCTAATACTTGCCCATTCTGATCATCTGTAGCATCTTTTTTCAAGAAAATATTAAGGCGAAGATAAAACAAAAAAATCTAAGCATTTTATTTCAGTGTGTTGAAACGTGGATAACTCTGTGAGAGACGCACTCACAGTGATTATGACTGTTGGGAAAAAACTTCAGGGTGTTGCCTTTCAAATGAGACCATGCATGTACTAAAAATGGAGGAAGAACGGCTTTCAGTTCACTCTGGGTATGACTTGTTTAAGAGGTGAATTTCACTTAATCAGCATCTTGATACGGTGCACCTGCCAGGTGGATGGATTGGATGGAGGCGCTCACTTCCACTGATATAATGTTTGACAGATTTCAAGAGAATTGATGTATTGAATGCATGAAAAAGTCTTAGATCTTAAACTTAAACATGTGAGAAATGGGAGCACAAGCAAAAAGCTAAGCTGAGATGGTAAATATATAATTTTTATGCTGATGATACAGAGATGTACCTGACTGTTAAGCTCCGTCTCCACCAAACCCTTTCAGTCCAGCACCTTTGGAACCAGCAGTAAGCCTTCAGACATGGTACCTAGACCCTCGGTGTGTTCAGACAGTCCTCTTAAATGTGGGCGGGGTTGTTGTCACTCACTGCTCCGTCCAGCACTCGCTGTATTTCCTCATCAGCGGTGACACAGATGGAAGTCTGCACCTGGTTTATCGTCCACAGAACGAGGCTGCACGCCCACATTTTCACAACAAAATAGAACAGGCTGCAGTGAGAGTCTCTCTCCATGGGATATTTAAAAATAGCAGCTTTGTGCATTTAGTCCTTCTCAGGCAAGCTCAGGGGTTTAGTGTTGCTGTAGCCCACAGGAAGTGAGGATTAGAATATATGACCTTCACATAATCCGCTCCAAATTCATCTATATTTTTAAAGTCATTACTAAAAGTGTGTGTCATATAAAAACTAAAGTGATGGTCAAAGTTGTCACAGTGAAATTTAAGGTGTGCTGATGGATTCACGTCATCAACTCATGCATTGAGTAACATTACAAGTTAACGTTCCACCTTAAAAGTTGCCGGCAGTCGGCCCAGTGAATGAAGTTATTTTTTTCTCTTTCATTTTATAGTAATATAAGCTGGATATCAAAAAAAAAATTCCTCAGCTGAACTCAGACAAAACAGAGCTTGTTGTCATCGAGCCCCGACACATTACACAACAAATTCTGCCTTTGGCTGGTCTCCTGTTGGAGAATATCAAATCTCAGAGTCTGGTTTGACAGTAGTTTAAGTTTCGAGCAGCTTGTGCAGTCATGTTTTCATTATCTTTGAAATCTTTCAAAAATACGATCCATTTAAACTTTAGGGATTTTACCCGCCTTCATCTCTTCACACCTGGACGACTGCAGCAGCCTCTTAATATAAAAACTCTATTATTCAGCTGCAGACTGTAGCCTCTTTACACCAGCTCCCAGAATGTTTTAGAAGAGATTTTTACATTTTACTGATGACTTGTACGGCTCCTCATGGCCTCTCTTCCAGCTATATCTCTGACCTCTTAGTGCCGACACACAAGGATGTACTTTGAGGTCCTCGGGCAGCAGAGGTGTTTTGTCTGTTCCAGAGGCTAAAAAAATAAAGGGGCCAGTGTTTACTGTCAGGGCCGAGGCTCTGGAACAATCTGCCTGAGGAGATCAGGTCAGTCGAGTCACTGATCTCTTAAAGTCCCTTCTTGAGGCTATCTTCCATCTGTCATAATTCCTGCTGCTGTAAAGTCCAACAGATGAACTCACACTGCAGTGATCTGTAACACACACCACACGTTCACACAAACTGGTTCCTGTAGTAATTTTTATTACTCAAATGTTAAGTTTGGATTTACAGGCACATGGGGACAGACAGGGTTCACTCAGGTCCTCACAGGGCTGGAGACAATGACGTCACGAAACACAGCACAGCGGCGCCTGCAGGCTGAGCAGCACACACACATCACCGCCTAAGACAACGGGGTTACGATACAAATAACTGGTACATTATAACTTAAAATACTGTTTATACATCGTGTGTGTGTGTGAGCTGCACGTCCTGCAGAGCGGCCGTCTGGATGGAGGGAGGAAAATAAAATGACAGTAACAAGTCAGAGAGAGTCCAGTTCTCCTGGTCGACATGTCAGATTCTCTTTCACCAGTCAGTCAGACACTTTTCAGGTTTTATCAGCTGTTTCTCTGCAGAAGCTGACGGTGAAGATTTTTTGCAGTTTTCTGTGTTCAGGACCTGATTTAAAAAAAATAACCCTGCTTTAGTACCGACACGAGGAGACGGCGTGAGGGAACGAAGACGACGAGGACATATCTGTGAGATACAACATGGACGCCCCTCGACGGGACTGTGATTACAACCAAACTTTATATTAAGGCACAAAAGCACTAATTAAAAACAGTTAACTACTGTAGCAACGTGTGAGCGCTCTCGTTATCTCCATGAAGTCAAGCCAATAAAATTCAGTATGTGATGTCCTGATAGGTCAAAGGGTCAAAACATAACAAAAAAATTCAGTTAGGGTGAATTAACTTGTGAAAACTCACAGAGAATCAATAAAACACAAATATTGGCATCGCTATGAGGCAGCAACACGGAGCCTTGTATACAAGCAAGCATATTATAATAATGACATACCACAGACGTTATCATAGATATTCATATATAGATTTAACCTGGAGGTTTCAGTTGATTGATTGTGATAATGTGGCTGTTTGCATGTTGGAGTTTTATTTCTTGGAATCAGCCAGTCCTGAATCATTTAAGCATATATTTACACAAATAACAAATTCCTCACTCTAAGTCATAATAAAAAACATTCACACAAAAATATAACATTTGAAATAATTATTAGCACCAGTGTATCAGATAAAATTCTCGCTACGCAAAATGTACAAAGTTGCATAGTGTTGGATTTAGCCTGGAAGAGAAATGTTAATGTGTGATGGGTAAAAACACCAGTGATAAGCAGCAACTTCTGGGACAAGAACAAGAAAAAGGCCGTGGTGTTAAAACATCAGAACATCAAATGGTGTTTGAACACGGTGACAAGTGTCAGAGCTGATTGAAAGACGCGCCTACGGAGCCGCTGACGTCCTGAAAGCTTTTTCTTTACCTTGTGTGCACACGACGTGCAGCGAGGTGCAAATTTCCTGCGTGCGCAAGTCAATAACTGGCAACTCTAACGCTAAGATGACTTCCATTTCTTTTGGGAACAAAAAGGTAACTTGGCACACAAGCTAATGTCTTGCAAATAGAAGATAGTAACTTGTAAACGTAACCCTGCATCATGTGGGAACAAGATATTAAATTGTATGGATCTCAGAGTAACAAGATATTCACTCATCTTGTTCCCAAAACATCCACAGACTGTGCATACAAGTTAATATCCTCTACGAGAAAGTTACTATCTTGTTCCCACAAGATATGTTCGCCGTGGGAACAATTTCATATCTTGCATGTACAAGACAACAACGGGCAACTCTAACACTAAGATGACATCCAATTCTTTTGGGAACCAAATAGTAACTTGGCACCCAAGATAATGTCTTACGCATAGAAGATAATGACTTATAAACCTAACCCAATGACACGTGGGATCTTGGAGTAACAAGATATTCACTTAAGGCCCGAACATACTCGGGCGGAACATACGCGGAACAGACTCAGCGGAGGTCCGCTTGGACTCAAAGTGGACGTCCGCAAGCCCTGTGCGCGCAAAGCTCAGATTTTTACGACCACGCAGACTCCGCTCCGCGCACCAGTGACTGCTCGGCATGTATTTTTCACATCGCGGGGATTTTTCACGGACATTTTTACAGGAAACTACAACGCGGAAGTGCGCTCGACTATGAAAGCCCGAATGACTGCGGACATTCCTCGCAGAGTCTGCTCCGCTTATAGTACGCCCGAGTATGTTCGGGCCTTTAGTGTGTTCCCAAAACATCCATATATTATGCATACAACTTAATAACCTTTACGGACAATTTACAATTTTGTTCCCACAAGACATGCAGGTTGTGATATGAGATATGAAAGAAGACAATGATGTTGTGGGAACAAGACAATATCGTTCCCACAACATCCATATCTTGTGGGAACAGGTAAATATCTTGAGCGTGCAAGACAGTATCTGCCAACCCTAACTCAAGATCCATACCTTGGAAGAAACATATGTTGTGGGAACAATCCATTATCTTTTACTCTAAACTCAGATCCGTATGATGATCACATGATACCATTTTACGTCCCATTTGCATGCACAAGTTACTATTTTGTTCCCACACGATCCAAAAGTTGTGTGCGCACGTTGATATCTATTCACGCAAGAAAATATCTTCTAACCTTCGGCTCCAGAACACTTAGGAACAAGAAACTAAATTGTCTTGTGCACACAAGATTTATAAACTGATTTTTTCAGGGCTTCAGAGGCTTCATATTCGCCAGCGGCGTGGGCGTGGCTTTACTCGACATCACAACCCACTGGAGGCGAAAATACTGTTGAAGAAAAGAGAAGTAAAATACTCTTCCTCTGCTGTTTGTGTGTCAGGCACGAAGCTTTGGGAGAAAAGAAGAGAGGATTCCTTCACTGTGGTTTCTGAAAACACGGTTGGTGTAAAAATGAAAACAAAAAAACAAACAAAAACAAAACAAAAAAAGAACGCCGAGGACAGCGGCGCTCTAACAGTGGGTAGCCGTGCATTCAGCTGGCTGAAAACTGTAAAAGTAGCTGGCGTGTCCCGGGCATGATGGGTAATACGAGCGGACACTCCTCGAAGTAAGAGGAACTTCCTGTCTGTGCAGACGGGTGCAGTCACGTCGGGTTTGTGGTTCTGGTTTTTCTCCGAGGCTCTTCCACCTCTCTGCACGGCTTCTCTACGCCGCTTAGTTCATTCTACCGTAACCACGTTACTGCGTCTCCAAAACAAAAACTAAAAACAAAACAAAACAGCTGCTTCTCTTTTGTTAAAAACCGTGAACGTGGCTTGAAATGTTGGCTTCAAAGACAAGAATCTGAGAACAAAAAAAAACAACAAAAAAAACAAAACAAAAAGGTTTAAAAACTGTTTTGGTAAAAGTTGGCATGTTCGCCAGAGTGTTAGATGTGAAGGGGGAGTGTTGGAGGTGGAGGAGGGCGGGGTTAAGGCCTCTCCAGAGACGGCGTGTTGAAGCAGCCATCGGGTAACGTGTTCTTGATGTCGTTGAGGTTGGCGATGTCGGCGCGGATCTCGCGGATCTGCCGGTCGTAGTCGTTGATCATGTCCTCCTGAGTCCGCGCCACGTCGTTCAGCTCCGTCAGCTTCCTGTCCAGCTCGCTGTCGCCCATCTTGCCCTTGGCCCTCTTCAGGGACTCGTCGATCTGGTTCAGTTTGCTCAGGTCCACCTTGTCAATGTTTCCTGGAGAGGAGACCAAGGAGGTAATGAACCACTTTACTGGGACTTCAGACCAGTTTTACAGAGCGTAACAGAGTCTGTTCTTACCCAGCTGATCCAGCAGGGCAGTGATGGTGCTCAGGACCGTCTTCACGGCGCTCTTGGCCTTGCGGGCGTTGTCCTCCGCCTCCTTCGCGTTGTCTGACGCCTGAGGAAAAGTAAACAGTGATGATCCAACACAAAAACTGACTCTACAGATCACGCTGAAGCTTGTTGGAACCGGCTCTTACCATTCCAGCCATCATCATGTCTTGGTCGGCCTCGGCTTTCTTCCTGGCCAGCTCCTGCTCCGCGGCGTCCAGCTGGTCCATCATGTCGCTCACCTCGTTGTCCAGCTTGGTGGTGTCCTGGAAGGCCTTCTCTGCGTCCTCCTTGGTCTTGGCAGAGCCCTGAGAGGACACACAGGTTGTGTTCACACACCTGATCAACACATTTTAAACCTGCAGACGTCAGGTGGGTTTCCGTCGTACCTTCTGCACGTTGCCTGCGATCCTCTCGGCCTCCTCTGCCTTGTTCTTGGCCTCTCGGGCGTCAGCGGCTGCGTTGCCGAGAGCCGCCTCCGCCTGCTTGGTCTTTTGGTTAGCGGCTATGATGGTGGCGTTGATGGTGGGGATCTTCTTTAAAGCTTCCTCAGCCGCAGTCTTGTTGTCGTTGACTCTCTTGTCGAAGTCTGCAGGAAGTTACGAATGAAACAAAAACAATCCAGACGAGAACACAAGTTACATCAGTAACTGAGTCACTATGAAACCACTAATTCACCCAGAACACCTTCATTTATAACGAGGTGTTCAGTTTGGCAGACAAAAATCTCTTAAGATGTCCATTAATTTGAAAAACAAAACCCTTAAAACAGTAATTAAGTAACAGTACATTTAAGTCTTTCTTAAAGGCTCGATGACTTTCCCCTTAATTCACACATTAATGTGAAAAATTTGTCAAATCCATTAATGTATATGATGTTATTAAGGTTAAGGGACCTTGGCCTAATGATATCTTAAGGTTTCTTATACACGTATTTCACAGATTTGGTCTAAATTAATAGAAACATTATGAATAATATATTAAGGGGTTTTCTGCTTGGATCTATTATCACAAATTTGTGTTTCACAGCGTAATATTACAGTAACTGCTGCGTTTGCACCGTATTCTTAATTAGAGGCCTTTACATTTTCCATTAAAATGCAAACTGATTCAATGGTGTGAAAATCCCTGAATGTTCACCTTAATTAAGACAATTAAATGTTTATATCAAAGGACAGTGTTTATACTGTTGTGTTATTTGTTTTGCTGCTTTAAAAACCCTTAAACTGAGGAGATGTTCCAGTAATAAATTAATGTATTATATATATAATATTAATTCATCTATTCATTGATTCCAAATTTGCACATCAATCAAAACATAAAGGTCCTTTCACTACATATTAAAGGGTACCTGTAATGTTATAATGTAATGTAAAGACAGACAGACAGACAGGTACCTCTGAGGTCGTCCAGGATGCTCTCTGCCTCCCTGTAGGTGGACTGTCCCTTCTTCGCCGCCTCCTCAGCCAGAGCTTTGGCAGCATCGGCTCGAGCCAACAGCTGATCTGCCGTCTGTCGGTGACAGGAAACAGGAAACAGGAAGCCAGACGTCAACAACAACAAAACACATCCAAACATATAACATATGTCTCTATTACGTCTCACGTCGGTGTGTCCGTTAGCTTAGTTAGCTTAGCATAAAGGAAGCCACCCGTCCCGCCGTCACATGTACCTGCTGCTCACTTCTGCCTTTCTCCAGCAGTTTGCGCACTTCCTGCTCTTTAGCCCTCAGGTCGTCTCTCAGGTCGTTGTACTCCTTCTCCGTCTTGTCGATGAGCTTGTCGAGGTCCGACGCCTCCTTCTTGATCTTACTGGCTTCATCCTGAAATACAAACAGACCACTCAGTCATCCAGGAAGTCTAAATACATGTGATAAAAATCACTTCCTGTGTGCAGTATGTGAAGTCACCTCCAGAGCTTTGGTGTCAAACGGCGGGATGCTCGTCAGGTTGGCGAAGATCTTCAGAGCTTTGTTTCCGGCGTCTTCGGCCTCGGCCTGAACCTTGTTGGCCTGTTTCTCCAGATTCTTGGCCAGCTCCTTCGCCTCGTTGTACCTGAACGTTACAGCGAGAGCTGGCGGTTAAAGACAGAAGGAAACACGTTTATAAATGAGGTCACAGAGGGCGCCGTCAGGAGACGTACTTCTTGTTGAGCTCGTCGATCTCCTGACTTGTCCTGCTCTCTCCGTCCAGAGTCTTCAGCAGCAGGTTATACGCTTTGGTCGATGTGTCGTTGGCGTCTTTGGCGATCTTCTCGATTTGGTCGGCGTCCATCTTGTGCCTGAGAGGAGCACAGACACATGACAGACAGAGAGTCAGTTCGGCTGCCACAGAGCCTGTGGTGCAGTTAGGGGGCCGTACACATGCTGCGTCTTTAACCGCCTGGAAAATGTGAGGTTGGGCGCAGTCGAGTGCGGCGGCAGATTGGTTGCTAAGCGACCTTGACCAGCACCATATCACAACCTGTTACCTGAAATCCTGAGTGCAGAGCTGATCTACTTCCAGGAGCAGATGTGACGCTCTGACAGCGCTGCACTAACATGATCAACTCCTCCTCCATGTTTATCACACACTGATATTTACTGAAGAAGGAAAGATATCTGTGGCCTGTGATTGGCTGGTCCTCGTCACATGACATGCAGTGCAAGCTGCTGCGTTCCAAAAGTTGAACTCTGTATATTCAAGGCGCTGCTGTCACACCCTGAAAAACAGGCGCTCTGGCGTTTGTGTGCACCTGCTGCACGTCTACATTAAAAACACTGAATCTGAGGACACAAAGGACGCAACAGGTGGACGACCCCTACTGCAACTTTTTACTGTTGCCAGGCAACCACCCATCACCTCCTCACCCTGACCTTCCTGTGTCATCAGTCTACTGTTAATCAGTGTGTAGCTGCTGCCATGTTGAGGCAGAGGGTGCTGTCTGTAGCTCTGGTTGAGGGTGAGAGGCTGTCAGCAGATAAACAGAGATCTGTGTGGGTACATGAGACCCTAAAAAAGAGGCTGGATCATGGGGAGTACCACCAGTTGGTCCAGGAGCTTCTCCTCCATCATGGACGTTTACAGGCAGATTTTAGGATGACTCAGGGGCAGTTTGACAACCTGCTGTCTATCATCAGGCCGTATAGCTCTGACTCAACTATTGCAACCACAACAATTAACGCAAATTTAGTCTCTATATACATTCAGTGAATGTAGAGTCTGTAGGCTAACCCTAGAGATCTTGCCTCCAGAAGAAGAGTGGAAGAGCCCTGAGTTTCCAGTTGTAGGCTGTTTGTAGTCCGTGTGATATTGACCAATCATGGAACCCCGTGAATTCTGCACAACTGATTTTTGTCCAACCACCACAAATCTGACGGGTAAAGTATTTTTATTGCAGAGCTTCACTCAGCTCCTCTCACTGTTCACCATCATGAGCTCAGTCACGCACACAGTGACAGGGCTAACTGTAGCATCACACCGCTAACATTACCAAGCGGTTATTAACAGATTTAATGATGCTAAGCGCTGAAAAAGGTTGAGGCCAGCTCAACTTCCAATGGTAGCACGTCACACCTGACCACAAGTATCAGGCGTCAGTTTGTAGCATTGTGTCTATAGCCCCTTTTACACTGCCAGATTTTCCACGAATGTTGGGTCGTTTTGCCGGCAAGCTGCGAGCGTTTAGACACACAGAGCCGGATTGGCGAGTTGATCCGAGGTGCCCAATTTTCTGCCTCGTAGGGTAGACATATTGGTGGAGCCCTTTTAGTTACTGTTTACGTCACACGCTGAGCTACACGTTTTGTTACTTGCTCACGCCCCCCATTGCCCCAAAAAAGGCACATTCTGTATAAACAAAAGTAGGTAGGCGGCATTTTGCTGCACTCCCTGATTTTGTTTTTATACTGCCAATGCTGAAAAAACACTGACTGGGCTTTCCTGCAAATTTGCACAGTTCCAACTAAAAAGGGCTACTGACTTTTACTGAAAATGAGTTGTAGCCTGTTGCGTGTCGCTCATAGTGTGAATGCAGCATTAGCATCACATGGCTAACGTTACCCAACGGTTATGAACAGGTTTAATAACAGAGTCAAGTCATTTCGATGTCGGTGTGAGATTAACAGCTCAGTGTCACGTGTTAGCCGCTGCTGCGAGGCTTCTGCCCAAGTGCCGAAACATGATGAGTGCTGATGAATCATGTTGTGAAGTGTTAGCTTGTGCTAACTGGGCAGAGAGCAGCTCACAGAGACGGTCCTTTAACGCTGCATCAAACAGCAGGAACAGCTGATCCTTCAACTGTTGCTAAACTGCCATGGAATCAGACCTTTCAGGTGGCAACAACCCAAAAACAGCCCACCAGATCCTGGAGGGACAGATTTTTATGACTGTTGACAGTGTATTCTGATTCTAACAGATCCCCTGAGTGAAAACCTTTGACTCCACTATGTCAACAAAATGAAACAAGAGTTTTGAACCTGACTTTATACAGTGTTCAGATTTCTGATCTGGAGACGTATATTTATCTTATTTTTACCCCGTTCAGAGAATCAAAACTTTGTGAAGTTGCTTCTGCTTTTTAATCTCAACTCTCTTCTTCATTCATAAAAAACTTGACATCTGACACGATTCCCTCCCAGTCTGCGGTCTTACTTCTCAGCCAGCGTCCGAGCCTCCTCCGCCAGCAGCGTCATGTTGTTTGGATCTCCGGTGCCGCTGGGGGGCTTGATGTCCTGCGGACAGACGTCAAACATCAGCTCTGTTAGTAACCTATCAGGGCTCTGTTTCGGGAGACGGTTGCTGTAACAGCAGCGCCATCACTCACCACTTTGCTGATGGCGTCCTTGGCCTTGTCCAGCTCCTGCCGGGCTCGGTCGATCAGGTTCTCGGCGTCTCGGACTCGGTGGCGGGCCTGGTCGGCCTGCGTGCCGGTGTCGTCCACCGTGTTGCGGATGTTCTGCAGTCGGTTCCACTGGGTGGTCAGAGTGCTGTTGATGTTGTTGAGGCGATCCAGCAGACCTCGGTCCACGTCTGCAGGGTCAAAGGTCAGTCGGGTTAGTCAGTTTTAAGTCAGTTAAACAGCTGATCTCAGGGCTGAGCTTGTGCCTGACACGTCGTTCCTGACATGTCAGCAGGAGCACAACATTTTCTCGTTCATTTAAAGTTTACGAAGCCTCTGAAGTCCTGTAAGCTCGTGTACAGCTTCATTCATAAGACAATGAAGTACTCTGGTATCGCTTCAGGACCATGTTAGGATGGAGGGGGGGGGGGGGCAGTTCTCTGAGTCTGATACCACTACAGGTAAAGTCAGGCTTTGGTGTCGGCTTCATGAATAAAATGTTACTGTTCTGATTGTTTTATGGCGGCTACGTTTGTGAGATTAAACTTAAGGTTAAATTTGTTTTCTTTATGGTTTTCAGAAGATCAATCAGTCTGGTGTTACCTTTGCTGGTCTGCGCCTCCACCAGCAGCTCCATGATGGCGCGCTCCGCCTCCTTCAGCCGGTCCTCGAAGGCCTTATCGCTGACGGTGTCCTGACCCGAGCCCAGGTTATCGATCAGAGTCTGCAGGTCGTGCAGCTTCTGCCTCTGCTGGTTCACCTGGACACACAAACAACACCTGAATGCATCACTGTGCAGAGACACACGAGTCCGTCCTTCTGTCTGTCTCTAACGTCCATCCTCACCTTGTCTCTGACCAGACTGTAGCAGGAGGGACACTGCTGGCAGCCCGGAGCTGAGCGGTTGTAGAAGTAATTCTCCTCACACATGTCGCAGCGAGCGCCGACGAAGCCGGGCCGACACTCACAGCGCCCGTCCTCCTTACACTGACCTGACTGGGAGCCCTCGGGGTCGCAGTCGCAGGCTGCACGTCACACACACACACACACACACACACACACAGGTCATTAAACACACCCTGAGATATTATTATTATTTCATCATCAATGATGTCACTGCGCTCACGTTTGCATCCGGACGAGCTGAAACCGAAGAAGTTGACCTCGCAGCGCTCACAGTGCAGTCCGGTGACGCCAGGCTGACACTCACACTGTCCTGTGATGATGTCACACTGACCGTTGGTGGAGCCAATCGGGTTACAGTTGCATCTGCGGAGGAACAGCCAATAGGAAGGAGGTCAGAAGCATGAAGATGCTCATGTTGTTGTGATGTAACTGTGATGTCAGTGCAGCAAACTGACCGTTCGCAGCCGTTGCCGCTCTGCAGGTTGAAGAAGCCGGGCTGACAGGCGCTGCAGTAGCGCTCGGCCACATTGGGGAGACACTGACACTGACCGGTGACCTGAGAACAGCTCGTCTGTCGACCAACCGTACCGAACGGAGAGCAGGAGCAGGCTGAGGACAGAAACCAACCAATCAGAGAGCTCAGAGCAAAAAGCATTGACGGATTAATAGTTTCAAATATTATCGTCTATTAAAGTCTATTTGAACAGTTTTATTACAAATGCATTTCATTAGAAGGTGTAGGTTCATATTTGCTGAGACAGCCGGGCCTTCATCACTTGAGCGTACGTATGATCTGAGGCAGCTTCAGCGTGTTCGCAGAGTACGAACAAATTCATGTAAGAAAACACTGATGAATCTCAGATTTCTACTGAAACATTTGTGCGCACGGTTTCGTTCTGGTCTTCGCTGTGACCTCGTCCTGTGAGCTTTATTTTAAAGTTTCTATCCTGAAAAACAACTAAACTAAACCATCCCCGTCAATTATTTTAAAAAATCATCCCCCGACAAAATCCTCAAAATAATTTAAAAGAAATCACCCACACAAAACCCCTTAAAATTATTGAAGTCTTAAAGTGTAAAGTAATCAGAAACTAAAGCTTTCAGATGATGTAGAGCAGGAAATAAATTTAAATATTTCCCTGTGAGATGTGGTAAAGTAGAAATTTAACGTGGCATGAAAAGAAAATACTCAAAGTACAAGTACCTCATGTTTTTACTTAAGTACTCTACAGTACTTGGCTAAACGCACTTAGTTACACTACACCATGTGTACTGTGTCACACCCTCCCCTGCCGTGAAGCGCTGGCGCCCTCTGGTGGGGGTCGGGACAGTATTTAGAGTCTGATGTTGTTGGACTGAAGCTTTGAACAGCTGCTGCTGGAGACAACGTGTATCAACAGCTGCAGACGGATGAACCTTTGGGAACTTCCTCTTACGTTTGCACTTGTCGGCGGGGTTGGTGGCCAGGGCGTTGCCGTAGAAACCCTCCTTGCAGCGGTCACAGAAGAAGCCGGCGGTGTTGTAGATGCACTTGAGGCACTCTCCGGTCTCGCGGTTGCAGTTGCCGACGGCATTGGGGTCGATGTTGTCGCTGCACTTGCAGGCGCGGCAGGCTCGCACCGGGCCGCTCTGACCCAGGGGGTCGCCGAAGAAGCCGTCGTCACACAGCTCGCAGCGCTTACCTGTCGTCAGAATCAGAGTGTCACAGGTGACCTCAGGGTTTCTGGATCTGATGTGGTCATAGTGGGATTATTCAGGTGACGTACCTGTGGTTCCTGCAGGACAGTTGGTGCAGACCACCTCTCTGGTTTTGGGGACCATGGCGCAGGTGGCTCCGGCCGGACAGGGACAGGGCTGACAGTCGCTTGACGACCCACGGGTGGCGTCACCATAGTAACCGTCTTTACAGCGTTCACAGCTCAGACCGGCCGTGTTGTCCCGACAGTCACACGCTCCTGGACGGACAGACAGACAAAACCCTGAGCTTTGTTTTCAGCTCAAACAGCAAACCAGTCAACAAACCAGAAAACAGACCAGTAAACAGACCAGTCCATAAAGCACTTAACAAACCAGTAAACAGACCAGTTAACAAACCAGTTAACAGACCAGTTAACAAACCAGTCCATAAAGCACTTAACAAACCAGTAAACAGACCAGTCCATAAAGCACTTAACAAACCAGTAAACAGACCAGTCCATAAAGCACTTAACAAACCAGTAAACAGACCAGTTAACAAACCAGTCCATAAAGCACTTAACAAACCAGTAAACAGACCAGTTAACAAACCAGTCCATAAAGCACTTAACAAACCAGTAAACAGACCAGTTAACAAACCAGTCCATAAAGCACTTAACAAACCAGTAAACAGACCAGTTAACAAACCAGTCCATAAAGCACTTAACAAACCAGTAAACAGACCAGTTAACAAACCAGTCCATAAAGCACTTAACAAACCAGTAAACAGACCAGTTAACAAACCAGTCCATAAAGCACTTAACAAACCAGTAAACAGACCAGTTAACAAACCAGTCCATAAAGCACTTAACAAACCAGTAAACAGACCAGTTAACAAACCAGTCCATAAAGCACTTAACAAACCAGTAAACAGACCAGTTAACAAACCAGTCCATAAAGCACTTAACAAACCAGTAAACAGACCAGTTAACAAACCAGTCCATAAAGCACTTAACAAACCAGTAAACAGACCAGTTAACAAACCAGTCCATAAAGCACTTAACAAACCAGTAAACAGACCAGTTAACAAACCAGTCCATAAAGCACTTAACAAACCAGTAAACAGACCAGTTAACAAACCAGTCCATAAAGCACTTAACAAACCAGTAAACAGACCAGTTAACAAACCAGTCCATAAAGCACTTAACAAACCAGTAAACAGACCAGTTAACAAACCAGTCCATAAAGCACTTAACAAACCAGTAAACAGACCAGTTAACAAACCAGTCCATAAAGCACTTAACAAACCAGTAAACAGACCAGTTAACAAACCAGTCCATAAAGCACTTAACAAACCAGTAAACAGACCAGTTAACAAACCAGTCCATAAAGCACTTAACAAACCAGTAAACAGACCAGTTAACAAACCAGTCCATAAAGCACTTAACAAACCAGTAAACAGACCAGTTAACAAACCAGTCCATAAAGCACTTAACAAACCAGTAAACAGACCAGTTAACAAACCAGTCCATAAAGCACTTAACAAACCAGTAAACAGACCAGTTAACAAACCAGTCCATAAAGCACTTAACAAACCAGTAAACAGACCAGTTAACAAACCAGTCCATAAAGCACTTAACAAACCAGTAAACAGACCAGTTAACAAACCAGTCCATAAAGCACTTAACAAACCAGTAAACAGACCAGTTAACAAACCAGTCCATAAAGCACTTAACAAACCAGTAAACAGACCAGTTAACAAACCAGTCCATAAAGCACTTAACAAACCAGTAAACAGACCAGTTAACAAACCAGTCCATAAAGCACTTAACAAACCAGTAAACAGACCAGTTAACAAACCAGTCCATAAAGCACTTAACAAACCAGTAAACAGACCAGTTAACAAACCAGTCCATAAAGCACTTAACAAACCAGTAAACAGACCAGTTAACAAACCAGTCCATAAAGCACTTAACAAACCAGTAAACAGACCAGTTAACAAACCAGTCCATAAAGCACTTAACAAACCAGTAAACAGACCAGTTAACAAACCAGTCCATAAAGCACTTAACAAACCAGTAAACAGACCAGTTAACAAACCAGTCCATAAAGCACTTAACAAACCAGTAAACAGACCAGTTAACAAACCAGTCCATAAAGCACTTAACAAACCAGTAAACAGACCAGTTAACAAACCAGTCCATAAAGCACTTAACAAACCAGTAAACAGACCAGTTAACAAACCAGTCCATAAAGCACTTAACAAACCAGTAAACAGACCAGTTAACAAACCAGTCAATCAGTCAAAAAATGAGTCAATAAACCAGTAAACAAACAGTTAACAAACTAGTAAACAAACCAGAGGTGGGCGCCTCTATAGTCAGTAACCAGTATAACCAGTATAACCAGTAGTGTTACCTGTGTTGGGGTTGCAGGCCTCGCTGTGTCCGTTACAGTTGCACAGCTCACAGGAGCTGAAGGCTCCGAGCTCCGGTCGGGCGCGGCGGTATCCCACGGTGCACTGCTCACAGTGTTGCCCCTGGTAACCCTGAGGACAGGTGCAGCGCTCCACCCAGCGGGCCGGAACACCTGGACCCCGCCTCGCCGTTACCAGAGAGACGTCGTCAAGGTAACCGGCACCTGGAGAGACGGATTCATTTTTACTGTGTGTGTGCTGTTTGTGTATTTTTTGTTGTGTGTTTGGTGTTGTTGTTTGTTTATGTTTATATTGTTGGTTGTTGTTTGTTTGTGTTGCGTACTCCTCTCGCTGTAGGTGCCGCGGATCTTGATGGCGGTCAGGTTGTGAAGAAGTTTCTGGAAGTCGGCGTGGCTGATGGTCGGCCTCCAGGGGTAATCTGTGCTGTCATGGAGCCTGAACCACAAAACAACAACAACACAGATTATGAGTCTGGATTTAATCCAGATTACAGATGAATCTAAAACTAGATGAATAGATTATAGCCAATAATCTGTTAAACTGATCCAGATTATCAGATCATCACACAGACAAAGCATACAACAATCTGTGTGGTGTATTACAGATGGTTTTATCGAATCTTAATCCAGATTATATTTGTAGAGATTAACAGAATTTTAAATTGGATGCACAGATTATGACAAAAAGAAAAACAACTAAATCCTCAGTAACAGATTATTAGAACACATTAAAACATCAGTCATGAAAAGAAAATCAAATTTAATCCAGATTAACAAATTCATTATCATATTTTAAAACTGCGTGTTCAGATTATGTCTGAAATCCATCCTAAATCTGAACTAAATAATCCAGATATAGTCTAATTGGTGGCGCGTGACTAGTGATGAACAATGGGTAATATAAAGAAAACTTAATTCAGTTGCACATAATTTAACTAAAATGTTTTACAATGCAGATTAATTCACAGATTATGACCAAAAATCTGTCACCACATTTTAAAATCAGACTAACAAACGACTGCAAACATCGGCCCAAACCGGATCAGATAATCTGACTGGTCTCACCTGAACACGTATGTCTGCATGTTCTCGTTGGGGTAGGCGTTGCCCTGGGCGATGAGCGGGACGGCCACCCTCAGGTCGGCGCCCTCCAGGACCAGATCCTCCGCCGACAGCCGAGTGTCCCGCCGATCCACCCGGAAACTCAGACTCAGGTTCTGTCCGTAACTCAACATCTGGTTCCCCAAGAACTTCTCTGTGACGAACAAAAAAAAACACCTGGATGTGAAACACTGAGTGAACATCAGCTGGTCAGGTAAACTTTAAAACGTCCGAATTTTATGTCTTCAGTCATGTCTGGTCCGCACTTCAGGGGTTAAGATTAATGTTAGGATTAGGATTCAAATGAGGCAGTGGTTCACTGATTGTAGGTGGATTTTAACCCTACGACCTTCTCGCTATGAGACGACAGAGCTTTATCCAATGAAACTAAAGTCCTGTTTCCACCGAGCAGTTCAGTTCAGTTCAGTTCAGTCACATTGTTTCTGTTCCCACAGTGAAAGTTGTGGATGGTCCCAACAGAAGCGTTCCTTAGCGTCCCCATGTTTGGTCCCCCCTCTGTTGGGGTACCTAGCACACAGATCTGGTACTAAAAGGTGGAGCTAGAAACCCTGCAGTCTGATTGGTCAGTAGAGGACGCTCACTCTGGTTTTATGTAACCTCTGTTCATACATCAGTAAACTACAACTATAAAATGAAAGAGAAAAAATCACTTCATTCACTGGGCCGACTGCCGGCAACTTTTAAGGTGGAACGTTAACTTGTAATGTTACTCAATGCATGAGTTGATGACGTGAATCCATCAGCACACCTTAAATTTCACTGTGACAACTTTGACCATCACTTTAGTTTTTATATGATACACACTTTTAGTAATGACTTTAAAAATATAGATTAATTTGGAGCGGATTATGTGAAGGTCATATATTCTAATCCTCACTTCCTGTGGGCTACAGCAACACTAAACCCCTGAGCTTGCCTGAGAAGGACTAAATGCACAAAGCTGCTATTTTTAAATATCCCATGGAGAGAGACTCTCACTGCAGCCTGTTCTATTTTGTTGTGAAAATGTGGGCGTGCAGCCTCGTTCTGTGGACGATAAACCAGGTGCAGACTTCCATCTGTGTCACCGCTGATGAGGAAATACAGCGAGTGCTGGACGGAGCAGTGAGTGACAACAACCCCGCCCACATTTAAGAGGACTGTCTGAACAGACCCAGGGTCTAGGTACCATGTCTGAAGGCTTACTGCTGGTTCCACAGGTACAAAGTCAGAGTGAGTCTCAAATCACATCATTCTGCTCTTTTTCTTCTTCGTCTCCTTAAAAACCTCAAATTACCGACAGACGGTGGAGCATTATCGCCAACACTTCGGCTTCCATTCGACACAGTATTGGTACTTGTGGTTACATCCAGAGGTGTGCCACGTCATATTGATGATGATAATCCTGGAATAATTTTTAATAAGATATAAAAAATTCATACTGTGATACTTGGACTTGCTTACATATTGTCATACTGTTACCAACGGCAACAACAAGCATGACGGAAAGCAAAAAGATCAGCGACTCCTTGGTGGTTCCAAAAACAGCAGCAGCTTCAGTAGTGTGGAATAAACTGTGGCGTCCTGAATGTTTTACTTCTTAGCGCTCAGAGGGAACTCATTCAGCGGCTCCTGATACGCCTCCAGATGGCATCAGTTTGAAATGTTGCCGGTAACAATGTAAGATAAGAGGCTAACGGTCCCTACAGGGCCGGCGGGAGAGGAGGTGGACGGGTCCAACAAACGCTGGACTTAACTCTGTAACAATGTCAAGCCAAACCAAGATGTTTTTTTCTAAACTTAACCACCTGCTTCTGTCGCACAAGCAAATGAACGTGAATGTGCTGTGTTTTACTGACGTTAGAGCTTTATTTTGAAAAAGACTGTCTGCGTCTAACGAGCAGAAACTGCACATTTCCTGTGAAAACACAAGTTTATTTTGAAAAGACACGATACATGTAAGAGGTGTACATTCACACGCCGCCCCGGAACGTCAACAGACGCAGGAGGAGACCTAGTGCGTAAAAACTATGATGTTTGACGAGTTGGGATGAGAACGTGTTGGTGTCACGTGATACTCATAAAACAAAATGGTCAGACAGTTTAGATTAGTGATGCTGGACATATTTTGAACGTATTTTGAACAACAGCCATAATAATGTGCAGCCAAAAGCGTCCAGAACATTCTGTTGATTCCAAACTGTTTCCAGGCCTGGAAAAGTTTTCCAGGAATTTCCATGGTGATGTTTTAAAAGGCAGGATTTTCATATTCAAAATGAGCAAACATCTCTGATCTCAGCTCCCCTCCCAGTTTTCCTGAGGCCAGTACCTGAGTGCTCACATCAGGTTCAAGTTTCCCAGGTGTAGCTCAGCGTTAAAGTTTGGTGGAGCGGCTGGTTCTTCTTCTCTTCTGTCACAAACTGTAGAGACGGCTACAGACTCACACGACTGACACGTTTGTGTGTGTGTGTGTGTACCTGGGGCTACGAAGTACATGGGGAAGTAGTCGTCTGAGATGAGGGAGATTTCCTGTCCGCTGGGAGACCACTGGACGGAGACACTGGAACCATCACGCTGCTGACCGCTCCACTGCTCATCATCTGACACACACACACACACACGTTACAGCACTTTACACCAGCAACACACATCACCGTGGTTACACTTAGAAACTCTCCTCAGTTTGTTTCCCTGCGTGTCGCCTGCAGGGGGCGTTACCTCTGTAGAAGGAGGAGGTGACGGTGTGGACGCTGAAGCCCTCGGCGCTGTCACACACAGACGAGTGCTGGAAGCAGAAGCAGGGGGTGCAGCCCTGAGGATTGTTGGGGTCCAGGTTGAAGTAACCCAGTTTACACCTGACAGAGAGAAACAGACAAACATCACTCCCTCCACATCTGAAATACAAGCGGTCAGGGCGCCCAGCGGCTTGGTGGGCAGAGCAGGCGTCTTTTATATGAAGGCAACGTCCTTGCTGCAGCAGCGGGTTTGCTCTCGTCACAGCCAGACTCCATTGACAAAACCTGTAATTCTAGCTCACTGAACACAGGAGCTGCTGGTTGACTGCTGCCTCCATCAGGTAGTTAGTGTGTGTCACTGTGTGACTTTGGTGAATCTGAATTAACCCTTTAAACACCAAAGTCACACAGTGACACACACTAACAGATGGAGGCAGCAGCAGACCAGCAGCTCTGTGTTCACTCATGTTAAATCACTGGTTTTCTCAGTGGAGTCTGGCTGTGAGGAGAGAGCGATGTAATGGTTTCATTTTCCTGTTGTAAATCAGTCTGACATGATTCAGGTGAAGCAGTGAAAATATTCTAAATACAGCGTACACTTCAACTGATTTTTTTAGGTGGCTAACATATGTTTTGTTGCTGACTCCTCCACAGCAGGATACTGTTTAGCTTCTACGTCAGACTCCAGCCTGCTTCTCCAAACTGACATCTACTGTCTGTAATGTAGTGAAAATGGATAAGTAATTAACCTTTACCCCGACACAGAAATATCTCCGTCTGCAGGTTATGTTTTTATGAAGTCTAAAGGTCCAGTGTGTCGGATTTACGCTGGAATTCCACTGGATGGAGCGGTGCAGCTCCACAGGACAGCGGGAGTCACGAGGACCCACGAGATCTCGCAAATTCACGCCTAATCGGGCAATACAACAAGATGTAGTTTCTATGAACAGAAACACAAAACCAGAGTCGTAGGAAGACATCTGGGTGCACCTCCATGATTAACATCTCCTCGTCCATGGTGTCAACGGGGTGAAATGACATCTGAAAACCTCTGACCTGTTGACTTCAGGCCTGCCTCCGCCCATTATGACGTTTTCAAGGTGTAGTGCAGGGAAATATGATCCGCCGTGAACACTGTGTATTTTATTTTGAAAATTAACCGGATGTTTTATTTTGTTTCTGTGCACGACTTCCTGCCCCGCACGATCTGCTCTGTGCTAATTGCTGCGTTGTGCTCCGGCGTCCGGCAAAAATGCAAGTCCTGCGTATCTGTTGCAGAGGGCTCCAGAGCGCCGGAGCTGAGACGGAGCACACACATTGACTAGAATTGAAACAGTTTGGCGCCGCTGCCGTTCTGGAGCGCAGACGCAACCAACACGCATCTGGTGGAATTTGGGTGTTAGTGTTGTCATGTTGTGACAATCGCAGATTACAACCAGCTGATTTACTCCAGGAAACACTCTGAATAAAAACGTTTCACCTTCAAGAAAATCAGTGTGTTTCAGATGCTGCTCGTCACAGAGGAGTTCTAACTACGGTGCCTGATCTGAAAATACAAGACCTGAATGTCTTGATCTAGAGTCAGTGTTTGGTTTGTCCCTTATGGGCTACTGTAAAAACATGGCGGAGCAACATGGTGATCTCTGTAGACGAGGACCTGCTCCCTGTGTAGATATAAACGTCTCATTCTGAGGGAACGAAAAGCACGATTCTTATTTTCAGCTGATTAAACACTAAAGAAAACACACTGATTATAAAACTTGAGTCACATCATCATCACTGTCATCTTCATCATATATAAACTGCACATCACAGGGTGAATTAAAACCCGCTGACAGCTACATGGCGTCACTGAGCAGATGTCGTCACTGTGTGAGTGTGTGTGTGTGTGTGTGTTACCTGTCACAGCTGAAGCCCTCCACGTTGTCTTTGCAGCGACACTGTCCCGTGTTGACGTCACACTCCTGAGTGCTGCCAGATGGCGAGCAAGAACAAGGCCTGACACACACACACACACACACAGGAAGTCAATGAGCCAGATGATAAAACATCAGGAGAGTGTGAGGCCCAGCAGACAATCATGAAGATCTAATAATGTTGCAACATGTTGTATTGTTCCAGCAGGGGGCGCTCAGAGTTCAGTCTGTGCTGAGTGAATCATGATTAACATCAAACATAGTTCAGGAACATTGTTTTCATCTGACACAAAGATCTCAGAGCTGCAGCGACTCATCTCTTGTTCCTGAGGACTGGGACAAAACCTGACTTTTTTGATTCATACGTTTCTATTATCATCATCATCATCATCATCATCATCACCAGCTCCCTCCCACAGTCCAAACACATGCAGGTTAATTGGTGACTCTAAATGGCTGCTTTAGGACACCCAAAGGAAACACTGGGTGTGTGATAACGTTTCCACCAAACAGCTGTGAACTGTCCAGATATGCAGAAACCTTCAGTGACTTGTGTCGTCTTGTTTCCCCGTGCCTCCAGTCTTTGTGCTAAGCTAGGCTAAACACATCCAGGACCTCTGCACTGGACGCTCGCGCTGCAGCTAAACATTGTGTTGATTATTGATAAATCTGCTGATTATTCTCTTTATTTATTTATTGTACAGTTTAACTGTGACGTCTTGTTTAATTTGTTCAGAACAAAATCAGAGAGAGGAGAGAAAAGTGAGGGGCGGAGCCACAGACTGTTCCTGCTCAGAAGAATTACTCAAATGTCAAATGATTAAGTGATTATTAATTGCTGCAGATACATTTTCTGTAGACTGACTGAGTGATTAATGGTTTCATCTCTGCTGCAGACTAAACTAAAATCCTTCTCCTCGTCCGATGCATTTGGAGGCAGAGATGTGGAGGATTTACAGAAATGTCATACTGCTCCTTTAAAGCCGGATCACTGAGCGTTGGTCCGACAGCAGGACTGTGAAACATTTTCTCTGGACATCAAAACATCAGCGTCACACACCTGATCATCATCAAAGCCCAGTCATTAGTGGGTTTAGCAGCAGCTGTTGTTACCTGCAGCCGGCCTCGGTCAGACTGTGGTACCCTGGCTGGCAGCGGTCACACTTCTCTCCGCTCACTCCTGGTTTACACGCACACACACCTCTGTTGTCACACTGAGGAGACTCCGAGCCTGAAAACACACACACACACACACCACGTGCAAACAATCAGCTCCCATTAACAAACCATTACAGGCTACAACTGGTGTAACTGGGACTCACACAGCAGCTGCTTCACATTAACCAGCGGTTTGCTGCTGCCTTGGGTTAAATACCACCACAGCCACAGAGCTCATAGCAGAGGTTTCACATGTTTTCACTCTCGCTGTGCTTCATGTGCACTCGCTCACACGCTGAGGAGTGTTTTCACAGTTATGACACATTCTTTAATGGTTCCTCGTTTTCACAGCAGCATATTTGTCTCAAATCTGAGCTCACGAAGAGAACGGGCCAATGATGAAGGTCAAGTTAGGGAAACCTTGCAGCATTAAAATCATTATTTGTGCAGGTTAGACAGACAGTGGGAGTTTTTCTACAAACTCCAACATGAGAGTCTGAGTTCATGTATGACCCTGTGACGGTTTGAAAACATCCTGTCAGTGTCTAAACTCAGGACACGTGCATATAAAACCGAAGTTTGGCCGTGAGTAAGGGCTGCCCCCTAACAGTCGACCACAAAGGTCATTAGTCTGCAAGATTTCATTTTTCACGTAAAACGTGAGAGCTGTGCCCTGTCAAAATAAATCAAAACTTTACTTTGAAAGGACAGACACAGGAAATGTCCATGTCCATGCTCAGCAATCAGACAGGGGTCAGGTTAATTTCCAGGCCTAATCCTGACCCATCTGTTTATCTAGAGGCCAAAGATGTGTGGTGTCACAGCTGAGAGCTGCTGTTCTTCCTCTGGACACTGAGAAGATTCAACAACAGGTTAGAAAACTCATTTATATCTACGTCTATAAAACGTTTAAATAACAGCAGATGGAGCCACACCAGGCACTGGATTATTATGATTTGCCTTTTTGTGCAGCTATTTTTAGCACTTGATGTTGTTTAATATGTCAACTCACCGACACTGTTGCAGCCGCAGGGCAGGCAGCGGCTGCTGCTCGGGTCTCTGTAGTAGTTGTCGAGGCAGCGTTCGCAGTTGGGCCCGTCGGTGTTGTCGGCACAGTTCCTGCAGTGACCTCCGTGACCTGTGGCCCGGTACAGCTCTGCATCGAAGTAACACTCGGCGCTCTTCCCGTTACAGTCACAGGCTGAGAGACAGAAAGAGTGAAACGTTAACGGGAGTCATAGTGAAGTCCAGCCTACTGTGAATCACCGTCAGCTCTGTTGTTACAGCACTGAAGTGAGCAGTAAGACTTTAGCACCAGAGGCAGGAAAGCAGTGAAGTAGATGTAGTTCTGAGGTGGTTCTATCAGGTCAGGTAGAGTAGTACTATGACAGCAGCAGTAAAGCAGTCTCAGCAGCAGTAAAGCAGTCTCAGCAGCAGCAGTAAAGCAGTCTCAGCAGCAGTAAAGCAGTCTCAGCAGCAGTAAAGCAGTCTCAGCAGCAGTAAAGCAGTCTCAGCAGCAGTAAAGCAGTCTCAGCAGCAGTAAAGCAGTCTCAGCAGCAGTAAAGCAGTCTCAGCAGCAGTAAAGCAGTCTCAGCAGCAGTAAAGCAGTCTCAGCAGCAGTAAAGCAGTCTCAGCAGCAGTAAAGCAGTCTCAGCAGCAGTAAAGCAGTCTCAGCAGCAGTAAAGCAGTCTCAGCAGCAGTAAAGCAGTCTCAGCAGCAGTAAAGCAGTCTCAGCAGCAGTAAAGCAGTCTCAGCAGCAGTAAAGCAGTCTCAGCAGCAGTAAAGCAGTCTCAGCAGCAGTAAAGCAGTCTCAGCAGCAGTAAAGCAGTCTCAGCAGCAGTAAAGCAGTCTCAGCAGCAGTAAAGCAGTCTCAGCAGCAGTAAAGCAGTCTCAGCAGCAGTAAAGCAGTCTCAGCAGCAGTAAAGCAGTCTCAGCAGCAGTAAAGCAGTCTCAGCAGCAGTAAAGCAGTCTCAGCAGCAGTAAAGCAGTCTCAGCAGCAGTAAAGCAGTCTCAGCAGCAGTAAAGCAGTCTCAGCAGCAGTAAAGCAGTCTCAGCAGCAGTAAAGCAGTCTCAGCAGCAGTAAAGCAGTCTCAGCAGCAGTAAAGCAGTCTCAGCAGCAGTAAAGCAGTCTCAGCAGCAGTAAAGCAGTCTCAGCAGCAGTAAAGCAGTCTCAGCAGCAGTAAAGCAGTCTCAGCAGCAGTAAAGCAGTCTCAGCAGCAGTAAAGCAGTCTCAGCAGCAGTAAAGCAGTCTCAGCAGCAGTAAAGCAGTCTCAGCAGCAGTAAAGCAGTCTCAGCAGCAGTAAAGCAGTCTCAGCAGCAGTAAAGCAGTCTCAGCAGCAGTAAAGCAGTCTCAGCAGCAGTAAAGCAGTCTCAGCAGCAGTAAAGCAGTCTCAGCAGCAGTAAAGCAGTCTCAGCAGCAGTAAAGCAGTCTCAGCAGCAGTAAAGCAGTCTCAGCAGCAGTAAAGCAGTCTCAGCAGCAGTAAAGCAGTCTCAGCAGCAGTAAAGCAGTCTCAGCAGCAGTAAAGCAGTCTCAGCAGCAGTAAAGCAGTCTCAGCAGCAGTAAAGCAGTCTCAGCAGCAGTAAAGCAGTCTCAGCAGCAGTAAAGCAGTCTCAGCAGCAGTAAAGCAGTCTCAGCAGCAGTAAAGCAGTCTCAGCAGCAGTAAAGCAGTCTCAGCAGCAGTAAAGCAGTCTCAGCAGCAGTAAAGCAGTCTCAGCAGCAGTAAAGCAGTCTCAGCAGCAGTAAAGCAGTCGCAGCAGCAGTAAAGCAGTCTCAGCAGCAGTAAAGCAGTCTCAGCAGCAGTAAAGCAGTCTCAGCAGCAGTAAAGCAGTCTCAGCAGCAGCAGTAAAGCAGTCTCAGCAGCAGTAAAGCAGTCTCAGCAGCAGTAAAGCAGTCTCAGATCCAGTTCCGTCGGGTCACTCGTTGTCGTCCCACCACATAAACACAGGCCTGAGTATGAGCGTGCTGAACGACGTGAATAAAAACTGCGCTGAAGCATTAAACAGGTTAAATGAGGTGAAAACTCAGCTGTTCTTCAACATGTCAACGTATGATCAGGTTGCTGCAGCTTCCTGTGCTGACGTGAGAGCTGCAGGAAAGATTAAGTCGACTGTGGGAGAAAAATATTCCCCGGACCCTGTTAGTCATGCATCTGCACTGTGATGTGAAGGAGGAGCTGACAGGAACTACAGCTCCCACAATCCCCCAGAGACTGCCGTGACTAAGGCTTTAATAAGTTTCCCCTCTGCAGGACGTCATCATGTGATCTGTTCTGAAGGTCAGAACTTTCTACTCCTCTGTTTCTGTTTCTGTGTCTCCATGTTGCAGCTTTTGGACGTTAAAGCTGCTGATTTGATTTGTTCAGCTGGTGCGAAGAAGAAAAGTTTGATGATTTACAGTGGATGAAGTCATGGCTGTACTTTGAGAGGTGGATATGTGAACTGCACTAGACTCATACTAGTATTAGCAGTAATCACAGGCGCAATAAAGCAGCAGTGGATGTAGTAAAGCAGCAGTAGATGTAGTAAAGCAGCAGTAGATGTAGTAAAGCAGCAGTAGCCGCAGTAAAGCAGCGACACCGCTGAGTGGCAGCAGACTCACGCAGACACTCGTTGGCATTGTCGGCGGTCGCTCTCCTCCACGGCCGGTCGTTGTAGAACGGTTTGCAGATGTTGCAGTCGTCGCCATCCGTGTTGTGTTTGCAGTTACACACCAACCGTCCTCTGCTGTTCTTCACACACTCGCTGGCGTGGCCATTACACTTACACCTGACGGCACAGAGACACACCTGTTACACCTGGACTACACACATCCATGAGACTGTAACCAGCAGTAAGGTCACCTTCAGCTAACGTTAAACACACAACACAAACACAGACAACACAGAGTTCACCACAGAGCTTTAAAAACTTTAGATTTCACATCTGAACTCTCAGAGTTCACGCTGAGCACACGGTGTGGTTGTTGTGATACTGTTTTTGGTTCTGATGAGGTTTTTCCGCTCGGTGGCTCTGAGGAAATGTTTTGCTAACCCTCCTCGGGGGGGCGGGGGGGGGTTGGCTACAGGACAGGACTTGCTCAGCAGCCACCTTCAGTTATTGTCTCAGGTGTTTCTTGGCAGAGAGTGCTGGAAAAACTGACGACGAGGAGCAAGACTGAAGCTGAGGCTGTCAACACCGTGCTGCTGGACGGCCACAAACCTACGTGAGTCACCGTCTGCAGTTCCAGTCGAGTTTTTATGCTAATAAACCTCCTTCAGGCAGAATGAAGAGCTCGCACCTGAAAAGAAAAGACGACTGTCGTCCCTCTTTGTGCAGCTGGACTGTAGACGTCTGCAGGGTGCCGTCATTTCATGATCCTGATTAAACTGATCTAAAATAAATAAACTGTAAGAGCTGGTGTGCTCATTCTGTTTGCAACAGAAACTTAAGACTTCGTCCTTTTGCACCATCACGTGTATGTGTGTGATGACATCATTATGTTATGTCAAAAAGATGGTTAAAACACTGACACCACCGTATTGACCCGTCATGGCCGTGGGACAAAGTAATGCGTTAGGTTGTTCCCACCTGTTAGGAATGAGTGTGAAATCTTTTTTTATGAATTTGATTTGTGTTTTTATTTTTTAAAATCTGATGGAAAAACATTTATGACATAGTTTAATACTTTTACCAGTTACTGTGGTTTATTGACTTGTGCAACGATTTAGCTCAGGTCGCGCAGATCTTAGCGACATGAAGCATTTAAAAATAAAATGACGTCACAAAAGGCAAAAACACCAACATATGCCCAGTTTCTAAAGCAGAGTTCACAGGGTTAAAAAAGAATAAAGCCCCGACGGGTTGTTTCTTCACATTTCTGTTATTATTCATAACTTTTATTTGTGTGTTGGTTGATGATCTTTGTTGGATGGTTGGATGAGATTCTGCTCTCTGCTGAGAGACTGAGAGTAAAACCAGTCTTGTTCTGAGTTTCCCGTCTAACACAGGGCTGCAAGTTAAAAAATGTTGGGACAGTTACGGGGCGTCTTGAAGCAGAGAGCCTGGATATGTCAGAGCTGCTGTGATTGGCTGTCCCACTCAGCTTCCAGGTGAACAAGTTCAGGTAAATCACACTGGAGCAAACAGAGGAAAAGAAACCCCTCCTTGGATAAATAAAGGCTGAATTCTGCAGCTCTGACAGGTGCTGCAGCTCAGGACTCTTCCCTTTTCTTCCGCCCGTCATGTCGGTCGGTCCGCCCCATTCTGGTTTCCCTGTAATCCAGCCCTGCCGGCCAGGAATGCCTGGAATGCTGGCTGTGTAATGGAAATCTGCTCCACATTTCAAACAGATTATGGCTGTGGAGGCTGTGCAGCGGCAGCCTGTCTAACACTCCTGTAATGCCTGTCGAAACCTTTTTTTCCCCCAGACGTGCAGGAAAAGGAGTTCTTGTGTGGACTCCTGCGCAGGCCACAGGGAAGCAGACCACACAGTGACACATCGAGAGCAGCACCCACAAAACCACCTGACCACACTCAGTCATTCAGGAGAGTCTCCTCTGTCTGAGCAGGTCTCATGAAGCTGCTCAAACTTGTTAATCTAATCACAGTGGGACTACTCATGGTGGCGGAGTGCTTCACAAGATAAAACTCTCAACACGCACCATGGAGCTGCAGAATTCATCACAATATGGACTTCATGGGGTCACTGACGACGCCCAAAAGAGACTAACTTCAGATTGCATTCATGAAATCTCTCCTTACCGTCCTCCCACAGCGAAGTCAGAGATGGCGTAGTAGTAGGACTTGAGGACCTTGGGGTCGTTGAAGACCTCGTCTCCGAACGTGTTGAGTCTGTTCAGGGTCACTCTGATGTCGGTGGCCGTCACCCAGTCCTGCAACAGACACAACGTGGACACAACATTAGAGACACCAGGCCTGTCATTTAGCAAACACAGACAGTCTGGCAGAGAGCACGCGGCACATATAACCTTCAGTATGACATATTACATATTTCTGTGCCCTTACTGTCCCATAAAAAAAAGAAGAAAAGGATTTGCATGTATGAAATGAATACAATTAATAATATATTGTCTTTATTTAACTTCTTAACTTGCCCTGTCAGAAAACAGCCTCGTCCCAGACAAAAATTCACAATTTTAAACTAATAAAAAATGTGTTGAAAGCCTCCAAAATCTAAAGCTAACAGCACGCACTGAGAACATTGGTGTCAAAATGTGCTGCTATCATCGTCTTTGCTTTAAAACATTGTTTTAATAAAACTGTTTAAAGACCAGATTTTTGTCAGCTCTGTCAGATTTCTACAAAAACATGATTTGATGAGGAACAAAAGGGTTTAGCTACATCAGGTGTGTCTGAACCATGACAGGTCGACTGCAGGCCTTCTGAATCCAAACTAAAGAGGAACGATGGTCTGATGGGCGGCGGTAGATCTGTCCGTGGGGACTTGGCTCGGAATCCAGAGGGTCGCCAGTTCAAGTCCCCGTCCGGATCAAGTATGGAGCTTGGACTGGTGCCATGGTCAGTGTCACTCTGACATCTCTCCATTTAATACATGTATAAGTCCGGTTTGTGTATGTGTGTGTGTGTGTATTTCATGTGTGTGTATATGACTACAGAGTGAAAAAAAATTGAATTTCCACTCTGGGATCAATTAAGTTTTTCTTCTTCTCCTTCTTCTAAAAATGAGTCTTTTGATCAGCATTAAGAGAAAAATGAAATGTCTCCTCACTACGACTGCTGGGACATGAATAAATATAAAACTCTGTGTCGATAATCGAGACATTGATCTTTAAAAATTGATTTCCCAGCCTAACAAATCCAAAAAGGTTTTGTCCCAGTTCTTAAGAGGGAAAGATAAAATGTGACGGTTGGTCTTTGTGGTATTTGTCCTGCCCCGCCTCCACTGTATTTGGACTGGTACAAAGTGACAGCTACGAGTGCAGCATTTTACCAAAAGCTGAACATTTTTCAGCTCTTGACGACCTGAAAGAAACGCCAAACACACAGTGCTCAGACGCTCAGCGCCTCGCCACGCTGCTGGTGTTTGTAGCAGAGTGTAAATGCAAAGCACTAAAAACATACGCCAGTGTCAGGAAAAAAACTCTTCTTTTTGACGGGTGGAGGCTTCCATGGGTTGTTTTTTCCCCGTGCTGGTAGGCGTACTTCTGTATTTGACGTTTAATGGCAATCTAGAACATGGTGTAGGTGTATACGCTGCACCATCAGGTGACCATCGTCATGTTTTCATAATGTTTGCATCAACTCAGAATACGTAGCATCAGCTCTTGTGACATCACTCTGCAGCAGAGCCTCATCCTCCTTTAGAACAGAACGGATCAAAGATTCCATAATGACATGGATGCATCCAAGTATTACTTCTGATGAGAGTTCAGAACTCACAGAAACAGCTCAATAACTGAGTGTATAAGCAGAGAATACAGAGAGTGAACCTTTACAATGATAAAGGAGGATAAAGTCCAGCTGAGGCTGATGTGAGTCGTCAGTTCTGCAGGTATTTGCTCATAAACTCAAGAGTCTGACAGATTTACGTGCTGACCTGATGATGGCGCTGCATGGAAAGTCAGGGCCACAGTTCTTACACAGTTCTCACCCTGAGGGGAACATGAATGATGAATCAGATTTTAGAGCCAATAGTTGTTGGGATGCTTCGGTCCGAGCCAAGCAGCCGACCAACACGTCTGTCCCCGGAGCTGAAGCAAACACAGATGTGTAAAATCTTCTTCAGATATGGACGTTCAGTGAATTGCTAAAAGTTTGGATCAGGATTCTGCAAACAGGGAGGTGGTCCGAGTTCTCAGGCTGTGGGAAACACTGACGCAACACCGCAAACACTCAAACTGTGACATTTTTAGTGAAGTGGAATTTATTTTCTTGGCGTCACGATACGAGCGCCAGATGGAGAGACTTACTGCCGGACACCTGTTTAGTTTCGGCCATCGCCAAGGAGGATAAAGAAAGTTACTCAACATCGCGCCTGTGTGAAAGGCTCATGGGAAACTGGGAGTGAAGGCCAGAGATAGCTTTGTTCAGTATCAGCAGGAAGCTTATCAGGCCCCGAAGGTTTTTATTCAGCGGAGTGAGAGCTCGTAGCAGCTGTTAGAGGACAAACACAGATCTGAACAGAAACCACCGGGTCTGTCCGGACGTCTCTGCTCACAGAACACGTGCAGAAACGTTAATCCATGTTAATGTTAATGGTGACAGTTTCCAAATGTCTCTTCTGCAAAAAATAAAAACGAAGGCAAAGTGTTGAAATATCTGCTGCCAGCCGACTGGCCTCCTGTCAGATCTGTTTCTAAGATTCAAAGAGAGGACAGATTCAAACAAAAGACGGTTTGAAGGAAAGAAATCTGCCGTAAAACGTCACAGAGGACGCAGCAGGACTGTTCAGGATATGTTCAGTGTCCGATGTACTGTACATTCATCCTCCTACTCAGGAAGCCTTCTGCCTCCTCCTGTGACTTTGACACGCTGATGTTAAATCTTCATATAACTGCTGGGAATGTGGAACAGATTTCTGCCCTCAGCTGTGACTCACAGTGAACCGCTTCACCCAGAGTCTTCAGCAGGAAGCTGACCTGACAGAATACGGTGACCTCTTCACAACCTGGGTCTCCTTTTCACAGATGTGATGATCCTTCTGTCAGCTGCAAGTGATAAGTGTTTCCCCGCTGCGTTCAGAGCTCATATCGACTTAACTCTCCTGTGTTGTGAACGAACCCACAGATAGAAGAGCAACTGCATTACAATCACTGCAACGAGGGAGTGTGTGTGTGTGTGTGTGTGTGTGTGTGTGTGTTGGGGTGTGTTGTGGCTCTGGATGTCGGAGCACCTCACCCTGTCTCTGGATATACTCCAAAACAAACTGTTTATCCTACTTTGTACTACTATTACTACTAATGTGCGTCTGCTTGACCCCTGTGGAACCTCTCGACTACAAGTCCGAGCCCGTCGCCCACTTCGCTGGGTTTGTTACTTCAGATCATGTTTTTTGTGAATTTGCAACATGCAAGCAGCGACTTCAGGTCCTCTCGCTCATTTGATCACGTTTTACCGGTCGAGGAAAAATGCTGTACATGTGAGAGCTCTGCAGGGTTTTAATTTGGGAGTGACAGTCACTGGTGGGACACGATGCTGCCACCATGTGCTCACAAACTGCTTTTATAAAACAGACCGGAGGCGTGTGATCGCTGTTTTCTGGTGTTTAAATCAGGAAACATCTGATCAGTAAATCAAAGTGAGAATCTGACCAACGTCCTGACTGGGTTCAGTCAGGACTGAGGGAGCGTTAAAGCTCAGCTCTCAGCTGTGTGAAGTTCGTCTGTGGCCAAACTCTGATGCTTACTGGCAGATATCCTGTTCCTGGTTGACATGCGGCTCTGATGAAGGATGGTCATTGTTGAGAACGCTGCAGCAGCTGCTTTCTCAGCTGGTCAGTTATCTGCAGCTCTCTGAAAGCTTCCTGCTGCTCGCTGACGCCCGACTCTGTCTCTCTTTATGATTCATGAAGAATCCACTCGTATCGTCCGTCCGTTCGGCAGCTGCAGCGGTCCAGGAAGCTGGTGCAGGTCCTCGGCTGAGTCGACGCTGTTTAAACTGAAGTGAACATTTGTTTGCCATCAATCATCTGCAGCTCTGTGCAGAGACGTGAGTTTTCTAGAAGGAAGAATGCTGCCTGACGTTAGAAAGTCCTGTGAGAATCACAGAGATTCAGCTGAGCTGCAGCAGACTGCAGGCTGGGAACCAGCTCACACTGTCCACCACTCTCCCAGTACATTTACTGCAGTAGTTCAGTCTGAGGTTAGTCAGTCTGAACTACTGATCTGTTCTAGTTAAACCTGCAGGTCGACCAGCACATCACTAGTTGATTAATAATAATTATTTATACCTCCAAATGACACACTACAGCAGTCAGCTGGGTTCAGAGCCCACTGGTTTATGCCACAGGAGTCCAAAGTTTTCTGAGTGAAGGGCCACATTAAATCTTGACAATAGAAATCTATGTTTCATTTTGACGAGACGTGATGTAATTGTTGGTGGTGGACTGTCGGACACTGACAGCTTGTAATGATCTTCAGATGCCTGATGAGCGACAGGCTGGTAAACTCCAGTAAATAGTCTGCACCAGGATATTTGGGTTGGTGCGAGTTGTGAGCTGTAACTCAGCAGTAAATAATCAGCCGTGTGTGTCTGACTGTGGATGGTGGAGCTGCTGAATGGATTTGTGGAGTTTGTTAGTTGCAGCGGTGGCTGTTAGCAGCTAGCTCCGCTCGCAGCCTTCACAGCTTCACCCCTGTGGACTGGACGGATTGTAGCTTTGGAGCCCTCAGCACTCCCAGACTTCCCGTGAACGCGCCCACAAAGTCTACGAGTCTGCAGGTGTGGAGAAGTGCGAACATTTGGGTTCAGCCCAACAGAGTTACCAGTGACTTTGAGGACAAATCATGTGAAGCAGTTTGAGCTGATTCCTGTGTGCAGGTGGGTCAGACGGCTCTGTGTGAACGGAGGTTGGTTTTTATCCAAAAAAGGCCTCCTCGTGGGCAGTTTAAGTCCCCCTGTAAAGTACAGCGTTCAGTATATGAGGGGTCAGTGTAGGTCAGAGGGAAGCTGAGGAGTTTTAGAGTCTGTGAAACTGAACAACTCAACCCGACAGAAACTCATCACAGGTCCATGTGACGCTTAATAAATCCACATTTAAGACTGTTATTGCACTTTTTTTGTTTTTAATTTAATTCTGACGCACAAGTTTCTTTGACTTCAGTCGGGTTGTTAATGCAGGGCCTTCACTGGTAGTGGAGTATTTTACTGCAGCCTGAGTGCTTCCTCCACACTGCTGAAGTATTTATACAAATGACACAATCTGAGAGGTCTCATCGAGATGTGACACCTGTGACTCGCCTTTATTTTGAGGGGTCACGAGCAGCTCCAGAATAAAACTCAGAGGGAGCTGGTTGTTAAGGTGGATGGCTGGTTGTTAAGGTGGACTGTCTCAGCTGGTGGTTATTTCCCACTCGGAGCTCAGAGATGACAGACAGCGGGAATGTGAGAGAGCGACAAACAGCCGTCTGACGCCTCCTAAAAGAGTCCCAGCTTCGGTATAAATAGCTTCATGCCGACGAGTCAAATAAGGAAGTTTACAGCTGAGCTGCAGAGCTAAATCTGAGCCAGGGAGGCCTCGCCATCACTGCTGCTGTACGGAGCTGTTTTCCTATCTTTATTCAAGAGAGTGGTCTATCACACACACACACACACACACACACACACACACAATCAATATCAGGGTTTCCATCCATGTCAGTGAAAACATGGATGCTTCACACACAGAAGATCTATACAATCAGCACAGTTTCAAGATTAGAATCACCAATTCAGTATCTGACCAAATGTCTCCCCTTCTGTTCCTGAGATATGACGTTAAAACATGATGATGTCACAGTCAAGCTGACCTTTGACCTTTTGACCTTCATTATTTTATCCTGTCAGACATTTATGTCAAGTTTGGTCAGAATTAGTGAATGAATTCTTCAGTTATGGACAAAAACATATTTGTGAGGTCACACTGACCTTTGACTACCAAAATCTGATCAGTTAAGTGTTGAGTCAAAGTGGGTGTGGAATGAGACGTATCCAAGGTCACAGTGACCTCTGACCAAAAAAATCTAAATTAATTAATTGTTGAGTCAAGGTGGACGTTTGTGCCAATTAAAAAAATCCCACAAGGCCTTCTTGAGATGAGAGAATGAGACAGATTGAAGGTCACACTGAGCTCTGACCATCAAAATATATTCAGTTCATTGTTTAGCTCAAAGTGGATGTTTGTGCCAAATTTGAAAAATATTCCCTCAAGGTGTTTTTGAGATATCACATTCATTAGAATCAGACAGATGGAAGGTCACAGTGACCTTTAACCACCTAAATCTAAACAGTTCATTCTTGAATCCAAGTTGATGTTTTTGCCAAATTTGAGGTGTTCTAGAGATGTCGCATTTATGAGAATGGGACGGCCGGATGAACCCAAAAATATGATGCCCCTGGTGACAGCTGTCGGTGGTACGGAGGCATAAAAACCTGCAAAATCTATGGAAAGTATTTGTATGTTTTTTTTCCCTGCAGATCTGCAGCAGTCAGTCTGATGAACAGGAACACTGAGAGACGCTTGTTTCCCACTGCGGACTGAATATCTCTAATGCCACTCATGTTTTAATGCTGAGAATATTTTCTTTGACGTAAACTGTGGGAAACACTGGGTGGATCCAGAGCTCCCTCTTGTCTCTGCTGTGGAGGAACAAAATTAAGTTTTTCTCCACATTTAAAAAACAGACTTTGAGCGGAGGAGACAAGAATCTGCTGCGGCGTTACACAACAAACTGTGAGGAGGGAAGAATGAAAACAGAGTCTTTCCAGTTATTAAGCAACAACCTCCGAGCCATAGAGAGTGAAGAAACATGGAAACACAAACACACTGAGGGAGGAGGAGGAGGAAGAGGAGGAGGAGGAGGAGGTGGAGGAGGAGACGAGAGCTCAGGGGAAAGAAGCGGTCCAGCTGCAGGTCAGTCGAGCCAAACGGAGCTGCTGCTGCAGTGGGAAATCCGGGGGCGTCGCCTAGCAACATGTCGCAACACTTGGCAGCATCAAACCTGCAACCTGACCTGCAGAACGGCCTGCTGGGAAAAAAACAACAACTACCATCACACGGTTCTGTTCCTGAGCAGAACGAGGAGGAGGGAATCTCCACACAGGAGACAGAAAGTGGACTGATGAGCTCTGCAGCGACGCTCAGACGAGCCTAAATCGATTCAGAGTCTTTTACGGTGTTAATAAAGTTGTGTTGAGGAAATAAAAAATGTGGAGCTGCTCAGCGTTTGGTCTCAGTTTGGATTTAACGACCTGATAACGAGCTTTATAGGATGAAGGCCGAGCGTTGTGTGAATCCCTCGTTAGTGACATAATGAAGCAGTGAACGGGAGTCACGCTGCTGAGGGGCACAGAATAACTCAACTGTCTTGTGATGGGATGTGTCTCGCTGGATCTAAAGATAGAACAGAGAACATGTTCTCCACAGTTCATGATGTTCGTCACAGCGCGGCGCACAGATCCTGCAGACTGATACTGTGTCTACGCTCACATGTTCCCAGATCAGGAGTCTCACTGTGTTCCGTCACTCATCATCAGAGCCGTTCGCCTCACTGACACACTAATGGTACAGATTTTATTCTCACGTTCATCCTGCACAACAGTTTGTTCATCACCTCCTCCAGGAGCACGGGGACCCAACCTGAGGGTCGGGGCCCCAACAGACGGCCCCGGGTTCAATCTGAGGAGTCGCAGGAAGATTAAAGGGCGGGTCCAAGTGCGCTCTTTTCTGTGTTTTTTAAAAGGTAACTCAGCTGTTAGCAGAAAACAGTGATGCTGACCCTAACTCAAAGAAAAAGAACACCAGTTGTTAGCAGTTAGCAGCTAACTCAACGAAGAAGAACACCAGTTGTTAGCAGTTAGCGGCTAACTCAACGAAGAAGAACACCAGTTGTTAGCAGTTAGCGGCTAACTCAAAGAAAAAGAAGATCACCAGCTGTTAGCAGTTAGCGGCTAACTCAAAGAACAAGAAGAACACCAGTTGTTAGCAGTTAGCGGCTAACTCAAAGAAAAAGAAGATCACCAGCTGTTAGCAGTTAGCGGCTAACTCAAAGAAGAAGAAGAACACCAGTTGTTAGCAGTTAGCAACTAACTCAAAAAAGAAGAAGAACAGCAGCTGTTAGCAGTTAGTGGCTAACTCAAAGAAGAAGAAGAACACCAGCTGTTAGCAGTTAGCTGCTAACTCAAAGAACAGCAGCTGTTAGCAGTTAGCGGCTAACTCAAAGAAGAAGAAGAATACCAGTTGTTAGCAGTTAGCGGCTAACTCAAAGAAAAAGAAGATCACCAGCTGTTAGCAGTTAGCAGCTAACTCAAAGAAGAAGAAGAACACCAGTTGTTAGCAGTTAGCAGCTAACTCAAAAAAGAAGAAGAACAGCAGCTGTTAGCAGTTAGTGGCTAACTCAAAGAAGAAGAAGAACACCAGCTGTTAGCAGTTAGCTGCTAACTCAAAGAACAGCAGCTGTTAGCAGTTAGCAGCTAACTCAAAGAAGAAGAACAGCAGCTGTTAGCAGTGCACCACTTCACCGTGCCGTCAGACAGCCCTGTCTGACAGCAAACTGCAGCTGTTATGTCGCTCTCTTCGAAGCCACCAGACTCCACTGACAACAACAGTAATTCTACATCACAGCACACGGGAGCTGCTGGTTTACTGCTGCCCCGATCATTTAGTTTGTTAGTGTTATTGAGCGTCTTGCACAGCGGGACTAACGTGGCGCCCACAGCAGTACGTAGGTTTATATGTAGGAATGAAATCGTACAGGAACCTACGTCAGGTCAAGTGGGAAACCATTTTGAGAAGGACTTGGGGGAAAGTGTTTTGATGCAGAAACGTGCGCACTTTGAGCACAATTTGAATGTTTGGATTTGGATCCATCAGGAACACTGTACGGCTACAGAACGATATAAACAATTTAAAAAAAAGAGAAAATATAAGAACTTTTTTTTTTTTAAATCTTCCAGACGTTTCTCTGATTAAATGCTTTTCCTGAAGTTTAGAGGGAAAGAATTTCACGGTCAGTCTGAGGAGTGCTCACCTGGAGGACGGGGCTGTGGTCGAAGTTGTAGGCGCTGGGTCGTCCCTCCAGTGTGGAGAAGGCCACGTTTCCTCCAGTGAGCGGCGAGATGTCGCTGAAGTCATCAGTGCATAGCGCCTGCTGCTCGTCCTCTCCAGTGCGGATGAAGCCGTGGTTCACCTTCTGGTAGGTCTTCTCGCAGGAGCCGCTGTAGTACTGGTAGGGCACCCAGGGGCCGCCCTCGCTGGTCCGCTTGTAGATGGCGAAGCTCTCCGGGCGACTGGTGTGGAACTTGAGCCGCACGTAGGTGATGTCAAATGCCTTCCCTGCAGAGGACAGGAAGATCACACATTTAATCCTCAGGCGTCATTTTGACTTTCTCTTAATTTATTATTTATAATTTAAATTTATTATTTATTATTTAATATTTCTAACATTTTTAGAAACAATTCAAAACAAAACAGCGAAGGATGTAAAAAGTATCATGAAGCTCAGTTCCTTCGTTTTTATTAAAGAACTACAGAAGATTTTGACTTCCAGCGTACTGTAGTTTATTTCCTGTCATCTTGTGACAAATCTGCACCTCCACACTTCTGTTTCATTTATCTTAGAAAGTCTGTGACATGATTAGAGAACATAATGAATTCAGTAAGGCTGTCAAAGATAACACGTTAACAACAAGTTAACGCATATTCCTTTGAACGCCACTCGTTTTTTTGACGAGTGATTAGAGTACGTACAGTCTGTAATTATGACCCACAGCACACCCTGTAGTTTGGGAAATCAGGAGGCCATGCAGCAGTAACGCTGTGGATGGGAAGCAGACACAAACCTCCGTGAGCAAAAATGGATAAAGAAAGGCGTCTTGAGTTATTTGTTATTTACTGTGGGGTTGATACAGCCGAGTATAACAATATTTTGCGTGGCGATATTGTCGATACAGGCGCCAAGTATCAAACTGTATTATTTACATCACTAATTTTTGCAAATACACATTTTAATCCAACTTTTGGTCCGAGAATGGTGCTGATGTGATGCCAGCGCCATTCAGCAGGAAGTTCATCAAAACAAAGATGGAGGCACCAGAGACAGAAATCAGAAATCTGGACACATCAGGACTTGGATCAGACACGTGAGAATAAAATACTCTGTAATACTACGAACATGAGGGCTCACCTCACAGGCCACCATCCAGAGATAGCGTTAGCCGCTAACGGCCAAGCTAACGCTAAAAATCACGCAACACAGGACACACTGAGCTCGACACAACTACCACCAGAAAATAACACAGTCCATCACCTACTTCCTGCTCAAAGATCTGCGTCCATACAGCGCTGTTGAAAACCAAGGCTTTTGTTACACGCTTAAAACACGTGAACCCAGGTATGTGACTCCGCCCCCTCACAGCCGTACCCAAGCTCTACAGAGAAGTGACGCATGAAGCTGAGGAAGCAGGACATTATCTGACAGAGGACAGGAGACAACAAAATGACACAAACTGAATGATGTTTCTCTGAATATAACTTAACATAATTTTCCAGCCTGAGAAAGTCCCAGAGGACAGTTATTGGAGTTATTATAGAATCTGTTTCAGGTTTTTGGACGTCGCCTGTCGTCACGTGGACAAAACTGCAAATGATAACATAAAAAAACAACCAAGAAAAAGACGATTCTTCCTGAAGCTGTTTGTTTTTGTTTTTGGCTGCTGGTTTGATTCATTCATATATCTTCTGTATGTGTGTGTGTGTGTGTGTGTGCATCATATTTCCTTTGCTGCGTTTCTATTGGCTGCTGAAAGCTGAAACTCATCTTGAATCAAAAATGTGACGTTAAAAACACTGAAGATCCTGAGTTCAGATTGAAATGTTTCCAGTTCGTGCTGACGGAGCAGCTGCGTGTTCACGAGATGAAAACACATCTCAGACATTAAGGTAAAGTTTACTGAGGCCTGGCTGTGATGGCGTGTTATCACTGTGTCTCCACAGGAAGTATGAGATCAGTGTGAGCTGCTGTTCCTGGAGACACAGCAGAGTGTCTCTCTAAGAAGTGTCGACTGTGGAAACTCTGGGCAGGAATGCGAAGTGTCGTTGGAACACGCTAACGTGGCGCTCTGGTCCTTTAACTCCTGACACTCGTGTGTCCGCTGGTCGTTCCCCCTTTCACATATTTGACGAGTCTGAGCAGGCCGGCGAATAAATGTTCCAGGAGCCGTCAGTCAGCGTGTGAAGGAACGCCGCCATGTTTGAGCCGGGCGGCGGGGGGTACGGCTGTTTGCTCAGCCAAAGAATCTGCTCTGTAAACAGTGTGCTGACAGGGGCCCGGCCCCCGGGGGCCCCTCTGTGTCCACGGCAAATAAAGGTGAAGCAGCTGATAGGTCCGAGGGGACGTTCACAAAAGGCTGCAGTTTATTACAGGAAACAATGAAGCGACTGCAAACACACACCGGCTTCCTCCTCCCGCTGTGTGTGTGTGTGTGTGTGTGTGTGTGTGTGTGTGTGATGGGTCAAGGTTAACAGGAAGCTGCAACATTTGAGCTGCAGGGTGGAGATTTACAGCACCGTGCAAACAATCACTGCCACGACTATTTAACTGTATGAAACTGGAATCAACTGGGAGCTGATTGGTGAGGTGACCAGTACAACCAGCAGTGACCCAGCACAACCAGCAGTGACCCAGCACAACCAGCAGTGACTCAACACAACCAGCAGTGACTCAGTACAACCAGCAGTGACCCAGCACAACCAGCAGTGACCCAGCACAACCAGCAGTGACTCAACACAACCAGCAGTGACTCAGTACAACCAGCAGTGACTCAACACAACCAGCAGTGACTCAACACAACCAGCAGTGACTCAGCACAACCAGTAGTGACTCAGCACAACCAGCAGTGACCCAGCACAACCAGTAGTGACTCAGCACAACCAGTAGTGATTTAGCACAACCAGCAGTGACCCAGCACAACCAGTAGTGACTCAGCACAACCAGTAGTGATTTAGCACAACCAGCAGTGACCCAGCACAACCAGTAATGATTTAGCACAACCAGCAGTGACCCAGCACAACCAGCAGTGACCCAGTACAACCAGCAGTGACCCAGCACAACCAGTAGTGACTCAGCACAACCAGCAGTGACCCAGTACAACCAGCAGTGACTCAGCACAACCAGTAGTGATTTAGCACAACCAGCAGTGACCCAGCACAACCAGTAGTGACTCAGCACAACCAGTAGTGATTTAGCACAACCAGCAGTGACCCAGCACAACCAGTAATGATTTAGCACAACCAGCAGTGACCCAGCACAACCAGCAGTGACCCAGTACAACCAGCAGTGACCCAGCACAACCAGTAGTGACTCAGCACAACCAGCAGTGACCCAGTACAACCAGCAGTGACTCAGCACAACCAGTAGTGATTTAGCACAACCAGCAGTGACCCAGCACAACCAGTAGTGACTCAGCACAACCAGTAGTGATTTAGCACAACCAGCAGTGACCCAGCACAACCAGTAATGATTTAGCACAACCAGCAGTGACCCAGCACAACCAGCAGTGACCCAGTACAACCAGCAGTGACCCAGCACAACCAGTAGTGACTCAGCACAACCAGCAGTGACCCAGTACAACCAGCAGTGACTCAGCACAACCAGTAGTGATTTAGCACAACCAGCAGTGACCCAGCACAACCAGTAGTGACTCAGCACAACCAGTAGTGATTTAGCACAACCAGCAGTGACCCAGCACAACCAGTAATGATTTAGCACAACCAGCAGTGACCCAGTACAACCAGCAGTGACTCAGCACAACCAGTAGTGACTCAGCACAACCAGCAGGGCTCTGTGAGTGTGAAGGTTCGTTCGACCTCTCTCTGACACTGGATTTCAAAACTCTGATTACTGTGTTCATGTTACTAAATTATGTGCTAGAAACGTGCTCTTGGTTTGGAGCCATCTGATTGGCTGAGCCTGCCTGAATGATGTCATCAAGAGTTGCAGCAAGTCGAGTCTCGGAGTGTCGACACTCCTTGAAATGATGGTCAAGTGTCACTGTCGCAGCAGAGTCGAAGATATTCTGACTTTTCTTGTCTTGTGTTGGGAGAACTCCCCAAACACTGGATCCTACATTTCCCACAATGCAACTGAACCAAGCTTTTCACATTACAGCAGTGATTCCCAGCTGGTGCAGATTTCTCCTCAGTCATCAGTTTAACGTTGTACTTGCTAAGTGGTAAATGGACCTGCACTTGTATAGATCCTCTCTAGTCTTCCGACCACTCAAAGCGCTTTTTACACCACGAGTCACATTCACACATTCACACACTGGTGGATCCATCAGAGCAGTTTGGGGTTCAGTATCTTGCTCAAGGGTACTTCAACATGCAGACTGAAGGAGCTGCCGATCGTCTGATTAGTTTTTACTGAATATTTAAAGGCGAACTGTAAAACTAGATCACTGATTTTGTTACATATATATATATATATATGTTGTGTCATATATACATATACAAAACTGTTGGCACAAAAATACCCTGAAATATTGTGATATTATTTTAGGTCCATGCACACTGACGACTTGTTTAAGACTTGAAACTCAACATTTGGTTTCTTTGAAAAGAAGTCTCGGTTAAAGGAGCACAGTGAGCTGTGTTTGATGGTTTGTTGGCAGCTCGCAGGAGTTTCAGAATAAAAGGGAGTTTTAAGAGTTTTCTTCCTGAACATCTGAAGCGTCTTTTCGCCCCTGAGGACTCTCTGGCCTCAGATCAAAGTCTCGGCCTCTCAGAGAGAAGGACAGACACCAGCAGGCAGGAAGCCCCTCTGTCGTCCACGCCTCCACATCCTCACACACAGGACAAAAGCATCTGTCTGCGCAGTGATCAGGAGGCAAACAACAGAGACACATTCAGCTCTGAGCCCAGGTGGCCACGGGACACTCTGATTGGACGAGGAGATCGGGAGGAAATGATGCTGCCGTCAGACAACAAACACCAGAGGAAGATTGTTTTTAAAATCATGCACCTGATGTAAAGTCTGTGTCACAACCCTGAGGGTGTAAACCAGAGGCTGAGGACATGTCTGACAGCCACAGACGGACGAGAGACGCCCTGTTTGTTCATCTCTGTGTTTTTCCAGCGCAGCTTGGTCAGGAGTGAGCCCATGAGTCTCGCCGATGTGACCGACCGTCTGCAGCAGAAGTGAAGCCCCGAGGAATTCTGTCTCTTCTTCCAGAACAATCGGCGTATTGATGAGAGGAAGAATTTTACAGTCGAGAGCGCAAACAAAGAGCGCGCTGTATGCATTTATGTCCTCGTCCCATATGACGACAGAACAAAAA